TTAAGATGATGAAAGGTAATTACATGTTGGTAGAATTTTGTGACTAGGTTTAATCACAACTTTGAAAATATTCTGAAAATATTTAACCTACTGAATCATATAATCAGTTTGTAAAGAAAAATGTTACACACATTATTTCTGGCCATTATTAGATATTTTGGTCTCGGCATCAGTAAGTATATATACGTCATCACGACTGCTAAATATAGAGTTGTCTGGCAAGTAGAAAATGCAATTGGTTTTTATGAGGTATAGTATGTCTGTTATGGCATATTCGAAAGTTTAAATGTTTGTTGCCTTTTTCCTTTACATCATGAATTTGTGTTATCTCAATGCACTTCACTTTTGAAAGAACAATTATCAAGTCAAGCTGTTATCAGTTTTGTGAATTTGACAAAAATCTGCAGTAAATATTTCATATTCATGGAATCTGAAATATGTAATTTGTATTATTATTACAAATATATTATTAAGTTTTACTATGCACCATTCAGATTTTTTTGTTTTGTTTTGTTTACGCACTACTTCCAAACAATTTTTCAGATTTCCAAACCACTTTCACAACACAACTAACTATACAACCAAGCATTACATAAACATGGATAAAATTATCCATAACCAGTATCTGCATAAAATTCAATAAAAATGGTCACATTCATTCACAAATGCACCCATGAACAGCATCTGTACAAAATCATTCTAACTCTAACACCACTCATCTTCATACTTTCATTCAAAGTCTAATTCCATATAATCTGCATTTGCCTAACTACCACTACACGATCAAGTCCAGACAACAGTCTCTGAATACCTAAGGATATAGCATAATGTTCAATATTAATACAATATTCAAAACTTAAAAGCATTCCATATTAAAATGTTTAATTACCTTCTTGTATGTTAAGTAATTTCCATTACCACTTATACCAAAATGCAATAACAATAATGGTCATATATTTTTTTTACATAAAAGTGTGCTGTGTAAGGCAACATTCATTAATAATCTGGATCAATAAAATCAAAATAAAAGAATATTAACATCAAATATTACATAAATCACATTGCTATTTGCAACAAAAACAAGATAATGCAAATTGTGCTCCTTCATGGGGTGAAATGGAAAAATAAGGGAAATCCAAAATTCTTCTGGAACATTAAAGCAAGTTTCCATTTGCAAATATGTTATCAGGATCAAAATACTCCTTGACAGCCTTCAGAGCTCCTAGACTAGGCTCAGATATAGTCTGGTTCATCCATTGTCGTCGGACTTTCCCAACACCGTGGTGGTGGGAGATGCTGCCTCCACAGGCTAGGATTTCATTACGAGCATTTCCCTGTAAAAGAAATTTTTAGACATACATTTACTTAATATACAGTATATAAGAACTTCTATCCATTTAATTAATGATTATTTCATATGATGAGTGAGCAAACTTCTTCCCTCAAATTCACAAGCTTGGAGATGGAGGTAAAAATGACAAAGCTGCTTAGAGCAGAGAGAAGTTGCAACAGTTCTACTGAAACTGGTTTATCAAACTACTGTACAGTTGCCTACACTTATACCTGATACAGCCCATTTTTAAGCAGACAGCAGGATTGGCAACTCTGATAGCAATAAATAAGAGCATGTCCTTCTTTAATAGGAAACATCCATGTCTAGTAAGGAAAAATTGATGATTAATACTCTACAAAATAGAATTATGTTTTGTATGTGAGATATAATTTAACATAAATGTATTTCTAGCATTATGCTTGATTGATTTTATCCAAATTTTGATATCATAGTAATCTCATACTCCAATCCATTTATTGTAGTATTAGAATGTAAACAAACACATAGTTTTTACTCTTTCTACTTTTCTAAACAAACACAACACTTCTACTCCTCACTGAAAACACGGTACACCAGGTATAAGTGTAAGCAACTGTGAGACGGGACACATTTCCTTGGTATCAGTACTTATTTGATAAACAAGTTTTAATCTTTATGTCACTTTAATTTCTATTAGCACTGCATACTTAACAAACTAATAGTATTTATCTCTTTAATAAATACATAAAGGATAAAAACTGTACCTCAATTTCCTCATAAACATGCACAGGATCAGACAAGCCTCGGTAGTTGAAAGCAAAATAGAAATAGACACAAGCACCCGCATCATAGGTTTGTGTGACACGGCATGTCACAAAGAAGTGCTTGATTCCTCTCTCTGAAACATTAAAGAACAGAAAAGTTCAGTTAACTATCTATAAGATGGAGAAGGGGGTAGATGAGGTGGAGGAGGAGGAGGAGGGTAAAGGTGTGGAAGAGGAAGATTAGAAAGAGAAGAACAGAAGAAGAAACAGGGAGAAAAGGAAGGGAGAGCAGATAAGGAAAAGAAAGACTTAGAGTCATTAAAGAAAGTCCTTAGATTTTGTAAGTCTAAACTTCTTTTCTCTAACATTATATATTTTTATGAACAGAAATAAAAATATCTGGCATTTAAATTAGATGCAAGACTGTGTCATAATAACCAACCTGTGCATTCTGAAGTAATCCGATGCTTAACATTGTGGCAAAGGGCTTGAACACGATCCCAGGGCACAGAGGTTTCAAAGGATTCTGCTACTATGCCATAATCAAAGGCAAGATCCTGAAAATGTTTTTAAAATAGATAACTTTCTGAATAAATATCAATAAAATTCTCTAATGCATTTAATTCTTTACAGAAATAAATGAACAGTAAACAAACATATATTCAAACAAAAAAAGGTAAAACGTAAGCAAGTCCAAAAATGATAACAGGACCAAACGAAAGACAAGCAAAGCCAAGTAACAAACAACAACTAACCCTTATATATGCAATAACAAAGGTTAGCATGTAGCCTCTCTGGCCATTAGCTTCCCCAGCTGGAATGCCCCCATTGTTGAGGGCAATGTCATAAATCCTCTTCTCTTGTGCTGCCACCTCATACTCTGAGCCTGTTTTGAGGGAACAAAAACAGAATCAACTGAAGTTTGCATTCAGGTAAAAGGGTGTTTCTTAAAATATTTGCTAAATCATAACAGAGAGAAAATATGGTCCAACTATATCTGATTACTACATGCAAAGTGATGCATTTATAAAATCAATCCCTCTTTTGGACAATTTTCTTTTTTTTTTATATAGAGCTTTGGGCTGTTTACATTTCTAAGCTTATTCAATAAATATAACCAACTTGAATTTTTAACCTAGTGGGAGCTTTAAAACAAATATTTGGCACTGAGAGGTGGTTTAGGTCCCAACTGAATCCAAATAGTTGGTTTGGTGTTGGGAGATCAGATTATTTATACCTGTTTTCATTTCTGAGTATCACGCCAGTAAACTTAGTTCAGAATCTAGAAAAATACAAAATCTTATTTCTGTATATATGTGGATAAAATGTATGAAATTTATATAAAAACACTGTTTCTACCACTCTCAAGACTCCAATGAAACCTTAGCTATCTCTTTATACCTACTAGCAGCCAAATGAAGTTCATTTTGAGAAAACAGTATTTTTGAATATATTTCCTACTACTGGTATATATTAACAAGGCAAGCTATGGTCATCTATACTTGGATTCCACGTAGCTGCTTGTGTTCCAGTTATATATTCCATTATCTAAGATATTTTAGTAATCATTTCATTATTCAATTATATCAACAGAGCACCATTTTCCATTGAATGTCACCAACTGGCTGTACGACTATTTGACATATGAAACATCAGTATTTAATTTATATTCATAATTTTATACAGTTCTTATATGAGCCTTGTTCATCCATATTTTCACTGATACAGCAGTGAAAACCATCTTATCCTTAAAAGGGTGGTTTAGCTAGTTTAAGTTAGATTCTTCAAGGCAGTAAGTTATCACAAATGAATAAAAGAGATATAAATTTATAGAGCCCAAACTAGCAACTTTGGGTGTCTGTAGACTGTTCCCCTAAATGATACAGATGAACTTGATAACAACAACAAGACTACTAAAACTACTACCACTACTAACCTTCAAAAAGAAGGGTGGCTACACACATGGTATGTACATCAAAGCCCCTAATACGAGTTATATACATCTTCTTTATTCCTTCACTAACAAGGCCAATGAATCCAGTTGGAGGCTTAAGTGCATGACCTGAAAAAAGGAATAAATAAGGTTAAAAAAAAAAAAAAAAAAAAAAAAAAAAAAAAAAAAAAAAAAAAAAAAAAACAATGAAACTATTATGCTATAAATCTTTATAAATGTTAGAAGAGTATTCTAGCTTGTTTGTTTATCAATACATAACACTTTGTAATGAACTACAGAGGGCAGAAACAAATTTATCACACAAAAACTGTTTCATTCTTCACAATGTATAGCCATATTCAGATTCCTCTTTAAATGGCTGTATAAAAGAATTAAATTAAAATATTTGTCAAAAAAGGGAAAATCAAACTCACCAAATTTGAACTGTTCATTATCCATTAACCGAATGGAAGCAGGCTGGCACCGATGAAGAGCAACTTCACGCATGCAGTTCACGCCTCTTGTAAAATCTGGGAATACAATAGACCCATACCTCTGCACCACTGGCAGAGGACGCACCTTCAGTGTAACTTCTGTGATCACTCCAAGGGTTCCTGAAAAATACAGTCCAATAATGATTTTGTTTCTATCCCCAAAATTTGAATTGAAATGGGGCATTTCAGAAATCAAATCAGATGTATTATCAATATAACATAATCAAGCAAAAGATTTTGTATCCAAAATTATTATGCTTTTGTCTAAAGTGATGGCTTAAAGCAATACACCCATTGTTTACCAACTCATATCAAGGGATTGGGGGGAATCCCTTGCTTGTTGTCATGGGGCAGCTTAGGTGACAGGGACTGAGGCCCAATATAGGGTATCACACCTACCTTGGTCCTCAGCCCTTTCCACAACTGATTTTGCATGGTCTTTTCTTCTTTTTACCTCTCCCTTTTCTTCATCCCCTTGTTCTGACTAGTTATCCTAA